GAACTTGCAGCTTTTAGAGGTCTGACAACTTGAAGTATCCGGGATGATCTCCTTGGTTCCTTTTGAAGAGTTGATATTGCTTGCTGTTTGGAGACTATTTTGCTATACTATCAGTCAGAAGATTGGTCCACAATGACAAGTTCAAGATTCACTCCTCAGAACCTTTCAACGCTTGCCTCTTATTTTACTACGTGGAGTAATCGGACAAACAACCTTATGAGATAAAACTGTGAACAGGGGTGGTTAGTATCTATGAAGACGCACATTGGGTGAGAGACCTTTTCAATTGGTATGTTTTTTGAGTGGTAAACTCGGCACAAGCCATTTTCTCCTGTAAAATTGCATTTCATTGCATCAGTAAAAGACCTTACTGTGAGTTTGTGGATGGATTGGAAGCAAGTCATACTTGTAAACTGTAACTTAGATTTACGTGTTGTGATCGTTATTAGCATTATGGGGACGTGAAAAAGAAGACCTCTCTACCTGTGACTCGAATCGTTGTCAGTATGTAGACTGCTTGCACTAAGAAGCTGCAAATATTAATTTAGTCACGCCAAAATGAAACATCTCCGAACAATACTGTCGCCATGGAACTAAGCTAGCCTGATAATGCTGTACTGGATGGATGTAAGCTGTTACATTGGCCCCAGGGCTCCGACCTACAGCGAATTCAATCTGCTACAAATCATTGTGCGTCCTGCTATGGTCTTTTAACTGTCGACGGACTACTTGAACTCGATCCTTTATGCCGCCTCAATTCCATGCTCTCGTCTGCGCTCGCCTTATCAGCGGCTCATGACCACTGCGATCTCACACATTCAAACTTTTGCCACACTGTAGTTGGCTCACCCACCTCGGAGTCCCTCCCCTCTACAAGGCTTAGTCCTAGGCTCTCACCTCCTTGGGATTTGGAAGCCAGGCGCCGTTCTCTGATCGTCTGTACTCTCCGCCACTCGTGGCAGGATCATAGGAGAAAGTTCAAGTAGTCTGTAAATCGTCTTCCAACCACTTCTTCCTTACTTAGACCTTCGCCAACGGCAGTTCCTTTGGATCTCTCGCAAGACCACTCTTCTCAATTTGTTCGTTGGCGCTACCTATGTGTTCGTGTTGTTGTTGAAACGCTAGCACGCGATCTTTAGCTTTCCATTACAAGCCAGCGGGAGAAAATGTCAAGCCACAGAGATTCGTTAAGTTTGGACCAGGGGGAATTTCGCCTACCACACTTAGCCAGAGCTGTCCCACCACGAACTGTGGGCGGTGGAATTCAAACAGAGACCTCATACAGATAATGGCTTATCAATTTTCGGGGCACTGCTTTGTCCCTCCACTTTTCTGTGAAACCTCATATTAATGTGGTTGTTGATGACTCTTGTCATGAATATAACGTCTATTATGCAGTTTAGGCCATATGACACTCATCATGAGGAGTCAGACAAAAAAGAACGAAAACCGCCCTCCGAGAACAACAGACCTCTCTTCTCTGCTAACAGAGACTTCACACGCTACTACTAGAACAACCGGTCCGTGCAATCATCATTGCCACTGAAGTTTATGATCCCTAACTTCCTTCCCAACAAGCTCCAACTCCCCCATAGCCCCCTTTTTTTTGGGCCCGCGAGTGAAACTAAAGGCTAGGCTTCGGGCTTGGGCTAGACTCAGATTACACAGTGCTTGGCCCGAACGCAAAGGATGAGCTCGGCTTGAGCCTAGACTTGCTATAGAAACAGATTTCCAATCTGCGGTGACGTACTCTGCGGAGAACTGATATACGCTCACCTTTCCCTAGTTCATAGTTTGAACGAATGATTCATTCTCACCTATCTTTTGCTGCTTTCAACATACCGTACGAAAAACCTTGAAGTGTTTGACTATAGTTTACGCTATGAAATGTACCACACGTAATCTGCAAAAAACACCGGTCTGGATGGAAATTACTATGCTCTTTTGGATCTGAGAACGTTCAGTCGGAAAGTACCAGCTTGATCCAGGGCTTCCAACCCTGCATTGCGCCAAATTCCAAATGTTTTGTGACCCCTCGACCCCCACCCCATTCCGTATTTTTGGTCGACCCCACCCTTCGTACTGCTTTAGAGGCCTTTAGCACGGCCTCTAAAGCAGTACGGAAGGGTTCCCTAACAAAAAGAGAACAGAAACATTCCTTAACAGAAATAAATAAGGCAGGAAACCGAATAGTAAAGTTTGAATGTAGGAATTCGCGCCCTTACCGCGGCGCGAGGTAGCGTGGAGCGTTTTCCCTTGACGCGATGAGGCAAAATGAAATATCAAAAGTTTTATTAGAGGAATTGAGAGGATTTTTTGTAAACCTAGGTACCGTTATGTCCCTAGTGGTTTCTAATTTCAGGTATGTGCCAAGATTTCCGTCAACGTCCAACCGTCTTTCTTGTAGAAGCTGGAAAATCTAAATCTCCAATAGTTACGGGCGCCTTCTTTGAAAGCTTATATCTTCGTCCACAGGCGTTTTCATGGAACCGGACACCAAAATTTTAAAAAGTACAAATAGTTTTCTTTCAAAAAAGCATTTGAAATGTTGCGGATGTTCAATATTTAAAAAAATCGTCCCGTCGTTCCGTTTTTTGCACACGCGAGTTTTCGACATTCAAACATTCATAACTTCTTCATAACTAACTTTGCAAATGTCTAAG